TGTAGTGAATGGAATATCCCAAGACGTCTTGTGTACGACTCGTGATAGTGGCATCAAAATAAACAAAGAATTGCTTGCGTCATGATAGAAAAGAAACATTTGGTGGGGCAGTAGATGCTACTAACAAGAACATATAAGAAGTACAGTATTTTGTGTTATTTTCTCACAATTTTGTTTGAGCAAGGAGCTTCTTGGTTTGAGGTCTTCCACAGGGCACATTGAAATAATACAAATTACGTATTTTACAGTCTAGAAAACGTAGGGGTTTTCATCTGCTTGGAAATAGAGGACCCCCACCTCCCGACTTCCGAAGCGTGCGGTCTTGACTGTGTCAGCGGCGACCCGTGAGACAAGGTGGGACAGGTTGTCACGGCTTCGGCATAGTTTCCTTTGTGTCGGCACAGTTTACCTGTTCAGTAGGCTAATTACGCTAGGTCACGGATAATTTATTACTCTTATCGTAGTCTAGCTAAAGTTGCGTGGTGATAAAATAAACGCCGTCTTTTCATCAGACAGCGAAAATCAGGTCATTCAGTTTTCTTTCCTGACGGTTTTACCTGAAAAGGACATCGCACGTAACAAATGCCGGTAAATTTCATAATACATGTATAAATTTTCTTGCTTGTTCATACGCTGAAATGTATTTCTTCATTTTGAGATGTGTTCTTGGTGAAATGACGAAGTGTGAAACGTGGTTTCCAGTGTAATTTTGGCGGAAAAAGAATTATAAAAGATTTTGGAAGGAGCGTTTTCCCTTGTTGCTTCTCCAATAATTTCCGTTAGGTGGTGTCTATCGAATCTAATGACACCAACAAAAACCGAGAGATAACCCCCTATTTAGGCAATGGTATAGCCAGGGGGTTGGTCCCGCGAAAGTTTTTTGACAAGTTGACCACACCCCACGTGATACAAACACGCCTTGTTTACACGCGGCGGCTCGCATTACAAACCAGCCCACAAAGTAGTTCTTCTTTCTGCTCACAAATGTTTCTCATTTCGCCTCCAAATCGCGCTGTCTATTAAGAATTCTAAAGCCGGGGGCGCCTGTACATATGGGACTCCAGGCGAGACTTTGAAGACTGGCTGGCCGTTGAGAAACTTTGGGAACTACCCTCTTTAGCATTTTAAAAATTCCCGGGAGAAAGCGGGCGGAGGGATTTGGGAGGTGTTTATGTAAATAACATGCTGGAGTGGGGAATGCAGTTCGCGCGCAGTCAGGCGGACCAAAGCACGTTGGCTCGCTGTTGGGGGAAAGTTTACCAGGGAGCCTGGGTTTGATTCCCAATATTCTGATTAGACCTGATCGCTTGACGTGTTGCCCAGGCGCGTGTGTGGAGACTCACTAGCTCTTCATCTGGACACAGATCGCTGCCGAGGAGATAGGAAACTTTTTTCTTGTTGGATCGCGGGGAACTCGTGTTCGTCTGTAAGACCCCGGTATGGAGAAGACCGGGAAGAAGTTCGTGAACTCTCGGCAGGGGGAGAGCCAGGCTGCCGAGGACTCCGCCTCCCAGGCCCGGCGATCGTCGCGGTTGTGTTGTGCGGTGGCGTTCAACTTGTTGTTACTACTGCTGTGTGTGTTCGCTCTGGCTTGCTGTCTAGTGTTCAACGTGAAACTTTTAGGTCTGCAGGACAGAGTACGGGACTTAGAGGCGGAGTGTGGCAGTGGTCTCTCCGAGGACCGCTTGTCGGAACTCGTCGAATCCCGAGTAGAGAAGCTCTTCGCTGAGGTGAGTCCAACGTTTACCCTCCTATATTTTCCAGCGGCTTGTCTAGTTGTAAGCTAACTCGCAGTATTTAGAGTACTTCGTGTTGGTAGAGAATTGTTGCGTGATCGGTTGATGATCCTGTGGTGTATTTCTTGATGTGTAGAAATTGGAGACACATTTGGCCAGACATCGAAGAGAACGAGAAACAACGGAGTGCAAATGCCCGCCCGGTGAGTTATTTTTACTTCCTGGCCGCCGATCAAGTCTCCTATGTCCGTGTAGAGCGTAGTGCACAAGGGCACGGAATTTTTGTAAACATAGATAGTAGTGTGATTTGTGCTTTTTTTAAGTTCACATTTTATTTAGAACTTCCAGTCAGCGCGATCGCATGCAGGCGTATAATTTGTTCTGGTCAGATTGCCCCCGTGCCCCAGCTGGGCCGACCGTCGGTAGGACCAGACGCCGCTGGAAACTTCCCGTAGACCTGCCGAGGGACGCCCCGCGAGCCCGTGCGGTGGTCCCGCCGTCCTTTAACTGATTAGCACGCCTGGCGTTTACTACAACACTCGATCCGCCGAGAAAACAAAAGCATTACCCCCTCCCTAATGCTGACGTTTGCCCGCGAACCGTCGACATTTATTTTCTCCACGTAAATGCCAACAGCGCAATTGATGTGTGTTGTGAGAACCGCGCGTGGCTTTTATACTCAGAACAGCGAGTTTTGTTTGTAGTGAAATTAGAATATTTGCGCCGAGAGTGGGGGTTCTAGGGCGTACCCGATACAGCACCCTAACACTAGACTCCCAGCGACAATACTACGTTTGTTTCCCCATTCAAAAAGCGACCCTTGAGTGACAAAAACCGCTGGTACAACTAGTCCAGTGCAACAAGAACAGCATTGAAACGTCCCAGTCTAGAACAACACTTCTGCACCCTTCCCACCCCCACTACTACCCCACAAGCCAGGTCGACCAGAAACCTCAACCCAGATGGAGAAATGTTTTCCCTAGTTCCTGGGTGTTGGGATATCGGCTGTGTGGCACTGTTTTCTTTTCAGGCCATGTGGGGTTAGGATATCTGGAGCTGAGCTCTCTATCCCCATGTGGGACAATAAGGAGTTTTCACATAGCCTTGAAGTTGCTAATAAGCTTTGTGTATCCACATCTGACACATACAGAGCCTCTAGGAAATGGAGTCACTACAAGAGTGGTTGAAACAGCACCATTTTTTTCTTGCAGACTGGTGGACATTATGACTGCTGACTTGAAGCTATAATCATGTTATCTTTGCCACTTAGCATGTCAGGATGGACATTGTCAGGGCTGGCTGGGATAATGGGGTGGTATTCTGTGAGTTGACAGTGGTGGGAGGGGGGGAGGTCTACAGCTAGCCAGCTGCACACATGCCTCTCACTTGTCCTAACATATCATTGTCACAACCACAACTATGCTACTGTAGATTGGACTAATTATTGCAGAGGGTAAGGCCTAAGTGGCAAATGCCCCCTCTTTCTTGTGATAACAACTGTTGCACCCCCACCCCCCATATAGATAATGTCTATCACAATCTAGAAGTTTGAGTTTAAAGAGAACGTGAAACGGAAAGAGGACCTTCTCTTCAAGCAAGCTCCTTATAACTAGTGATTAATGACTGGGCCCCAGGCACTTTCTATGGCTATTGTAGACCATGATTCCTCATTTCATGAATGAAAAGATGCACACATAGGCTGATCCACAGTAACATCAGAGGAAGTAATATCTGTTTCTCTATGGCCACAGCCTGAAGGTGTAGGTGCATGTAGTTCATACAAAATCAGTAAATAGATACCAAATGGTACCAACCTCCAACAAGCTGATATCCAGTATTGTATTGTGAGGCTTTCTCAAATCTGATCAAATCAGGATTTCTCTGATGCGCTTCTCAAGTGTGGGCTTCTCTGGGCTATGATTGATAATCTGATGATGTAGCAGATTTTCCCAATTGTATTGATCAGGTGATTCCGAGTATTACAATGGGAAGTCTTGGCCTGGCTTGTATTAAAATGACCTTTGGCTTCCTTACACACAGATCATGTTTTACTTACCTTTGTGCCATTGTTAGTTTCTGGTAGCTGTTTGCCTGCCTATAGAATTGCATGCTAAAAAAAGTATGAGTTACAGTACTGAATACCCTGTGTAATCTCCAGGCTTATTTTATTGAATAACTTCCAGCAGCCAGCATATCCATGTGTTTGTTAAATCTGCGGTAAGAAGTTGTTGTATCTCTAAGTTGATTTACAGTAGACCAGTTGGAAGTTGCTGATGTGGCTAATTATACTGTAGGGCTTCAGTCTTCTCACCTGGCTTCCCTCTACAGGTAGTTATCCTGCCTAGTAAGTGGATAAAGTCCACTGTATAAACAAAGTACCCATATCCTATTAGCTATTTGGTAAGGAATTATTGTAGGCTGGTTAAATACAGTGCAGTATAGCGGGTGTGTACCATTATAGTACGAGCTGTTTCTGCATAATTTTCAGGTTGGTATGGCAGTGATTGGCATGTGTAGCTCAGACCTTTGGGCTCCTTTATCAGTTGATGAAACTATTGTTTTGAAATTCTGACGTTTCTGACTCTTTAAGGAATCTGACTCTTTGGGAAATGTGACAAACTGACTCATGCCAGAAGGCAGGGTGTAATTGAAACGGGCAGCTAGGAATACATCACCATATAGCCTCTCAACATCTGCTTGGAGACTAATAGATAACTGAGACTCTGAGAACTAGCTAGGGGCAGCACTAAGAATCAATACTGAGAATTCGTACATGTCTGCCATGACCCATGGTATGATCAGTTTTGGCTGGCAGAACAAGGCAGGGACACTCCTGAGCCAAAAGAAGTCCAGCTGTTTGATTTTGAAAGGGAGGTCATATTTATTTTTGTGGGAATACCTTAAAAACCTGCTGGTACAAGAGGTCAGAGGTTAACGCAGCAGGCGTTGAAGTTTGCTCTCTTTGAAATATAGCTTAGAGCTCTAACTAAGTATCATCATTCGACTTCAGAACTTGGACTGGTTTCTGATTTCCATGCTAGTGGGGTGAACAGATTTCAAACCTTAGCCTTCCATGTCTATTTGTTTCCCTCCCGAAAACTGCCATGTAATTTTTTTCTTGCCCAGAAGTTTCAAAGTTGACATCGGTCTTTGTCCTCTATGAGTATGTGATTTGATGCATTGGCACCATGCCTTCGTTTTGTTTGACCAATGGCCACCTCATGGATTGAACAACCAATTAGGATATTTAAACTGTCATTTCAACCTTTGCTACATTGCACTTACTGCTGACAACTGCCGCTTTCTTTTCGGATTGACTTGATCGATTTTCAAGTGGGGGGTATAGAACTCTTCGGCTCTGTGGCTTGATCTTTCCGGTATTCCGTGATATTTACTCTGGTTGAAAAGAAGACAAACAGTGCTGTTGACTTTTGTCTTAGGGAACAGTAATTGAATTGGCGTTGTCCCATTCCTACAAGCACCACGCTGTGAAAACTGTCCACAATTTACCTCTCAAAGAGAGCTATGCCCACCTCCACTCGTGAGCAAGCATCTGATTAGACTTGGGGAATAGCCTTAATTTTGTTTGTCCAGAAAATATTTGAGGACACATACCGACTGTAATTGGTCCTTTTAATGGGTTTCTTATCAAACCTACCAAAACTTTCACTGTTGAAATGCCATTACCATCATTAAAAGAAAAGGACCCCATCTTTAATCAAATTGGTGTGACGTTTAAGTAGAAAACATAAAATGTCTGCTCTTTAAAAGTGGAAGTACATGTACCCTGATCATTAGAGGGGCTATCCATCAACTACTTTAAGTACTTATGTACAGAAAGCCTAAAGGAAAACCTTGGCTTTTGCGGTAATCCTGGGTGAACAGCAGCTATACTGACCTTAACCCTGCGGTTGCATGCTCTGAATTTGTTCCCCCTTCAGAAGGATCTTGCTGTTGCTTTTAATTAACGAGAGGACATTTTTACATACTACGTTAATCATTGGAGATGTGTAGTTTGGCTTTTTGGACACATGAACTGAGTAATTTTTTCCAGGTCTGTTCATTTTTGGATTAAAGTTTTACTAGTATTTCAGATCATCAAATCCCAGCCCAAAGTTAGAGTAAGGACTGGTATGTAATGGTCTTGTTTGAAGAGAGTTTGACCTTATGGTTTGAGTTAGAGGAATGAGGTCCCTTAGAGCACACAGTATTGGGGTCATGTCCAATGCAGGGTTGGTTGCAGCCAGCAAATATTGGTTTTGTATACTTTCCTCTGAGAGAGATTTTTCCTGGCAAAATAGATACGAATTAAAGGGTAGAGGACCTGGTGTGGGGGGGGGGGAGTCTCAACAACACTTGACACTAGATTCAGTTTTGCTGACACGTTATTCTAAATTCAGGAAGCAAATAACACAAAATGTGCCAATCTTACTACGGAATAGGGGATATGATACATTTTCCCCCTACAAATTAAGGTTAATCAAAATAGATTGCCTACACTTTATTGAAAAGGGGCACGAAGCCCCCAAGTACTTAGGTACCTAATAACGGTATTATTTTATGCCAATGTTATGGGCCAACTGATGTAACTGCCATTACCAAGGAGATACCATGAAAGATCGGGTACAATGTATTAATTTGCATACTCATGATACTGCTTCTGAGAAAGGGGAATGAAACACCGTAATGGTATACTGGAAGAAAAGGGCGCAAGAGACGTATTATCGTGACCGCAAATTGTCCCGCAACAGCCTATATATGTCATCTTGCGTTACTTACACTTTTTAATCACTGACCCGATTCATGTTGGTTATGCTCTCAGGTACTGCATACCAGAGTATCACTGTAGCCAAGGAATCTTGCAACATTTTTATCATATTACATTTTTGACACGCTTTTTAATGAAGGGGAATGTGAAATAGCGAGATGGAATGTTTTGAAGTCAACAATGTTTTAAAAAGGACCGGACAGCAGCTGTCACAGAAGCTTTATCATTGTTGAAATGAAAATTTCCCTTAATTTGTACAATTATCAATTATTGTTGTGATTTAGGATGGAATTACTTTAAATGCCATTCTGAAAATTGTCAGACTATAGACTTGATCCATATCAAGTTGTGATTTGTAAAGACATATTTACCTCATTTAAGGACAGAGGATTTTTAACATTTTCCAAATTGAAGACATGCTCACCAGTTGATCAG